TTCTTGGTGTCCCTTTGCCATAGATTCCAACTCACCTTGTTCTGGACTTCTCAAAGTCATCAATGATTGTACCGCTGTAAGATTGCCTAAATACTTACCTTTCCCAAGCCTAACATTTTGGTTAGAGATATTTCTTACCGACACTCGGACTGACGAAGTCGAACCTTCCTTCAACTCCACAAGAGTGTCCTCAATCTTCAGAATTTCATCTAAACTTTGTCCTAGACTGCTCGGCGAAACCATAGCTATCAGACCACCCTTACCTGCGCCTGCATGGGCGATACATTTTACCATTACGGTTGATTGCTTTGGAATTGTGACCACTTCACCTAATTTCAATTTGCTAATTATACCTGTGGTCTCCTGGTTGAGCACCTCTTTCACAGCATTTACCGTGTGAACACCTTTGCCCGGAAAAAGAGTCTTAAAATGTTCACATGTATGGAGACGAGCAATTACATTATACCCTAATATGGGTTGATCAACCTTACACTCGGGCTTCGTCACTAGGAAGGGCACCTGTACATCTATATCCCCTACCTTGACCGATAACTCCACCCATCCCTTGTGCGGTATATCTTCCCCACTAGCGGACTTAAGTACCAGCTCTCTCTCTCAAACATCTCATTTATTTCTCGCACTCTTTTCTCAATGCCCTTTTCTCTCAACCATTCCTCATCAACTAAACTGACCTGGGCGCCTGTGTCCCACAACACATCTTGATGTTTACCCTCCATCACCAAATCTACTACACACTTCTCCCCGACTAGCTTAACTAGTCTTTGTTTAGATTTTGGTGTGATAAATACATGTCCCTTTAGGTCACTAATGTCTCTGGTAGCTATTGGGGTATTGCCATTGTCCTGCTGGGTCACCATAATTTCCCCTTTCACAACAGTGACCCGTCCTAGTTTTCCGACTGACGGTTATTACAGTCTCTCCTTAATGATCTCCGCTGCCATATTTATAGCAGTGATGACATCTAGGTCCCTGCCCTGTGTTCTGACACGCTTTACAACCACGTTTTGGTTGTTGACGGGGTTGGTTGTCACTGTAAGTCGGGCTGTTTCTCGGTCCATTGTTGTGATTTCCACTGGCATTGGTGATGTTACCTTGTAAAGTCTTTAACTGTTTCACCTCTACACGCAACGCCTGTAATTCCTTTAAAACATTATCAGACACCCCGGCACTAGAGCTGACAACCTTGACATCCACTCTACAAATCTTGCCCTGCCTCTCTGCATTGCGCTTTGTAATGTCGTTGATCGCTTTCAACAGCGTCTCATCCTCCATGGACGTTACGAGTGCCTGATGTATCTCTAGTTTTATGTCGTCGTCCCTAACCCCTGTTGACACTGCCTGTCTGAATTGGTTACCGACGAGCGTAGCGTCGTAGTGATTACCACCATCCTCCCTTGAGGCAAACATGATTTTTTGTCTCAACTCGAGCGCCCTGAACACAAAGTCTTGTACCGTTTCCTTTGGAGCCTGAACCAGAGTACACAAGTCTTGATACAGTTCTGTTGCCGTTTTCTCCTTATAAAAGGTGCGGATAATTGTCTGTAACGTGGGTAGTGTGAGGTTATGTCTACCCTCCAAATAGCCTCGAACCCTGGCTGTGGGGTTGATCGCCTGTAACACACTACTGATGATTTCTGTCTCTGTGTGTCCTTTTTCTTCAGCCACTGATATTTGGCGAAGAAATGACATGTAGCCAATACTTCCCTCACTGCCCCCGATTTGCCCATGGATTTTTAAGTCCTTCCTCCAAGACCCTTTCGTAGTCTTGGAAGTCAGTGTGGGCACTGAATTCTCTGTTGCGTCAATCTCCGACTCGCATAAGCAGCTATATGTAAAGTCCAAAAGCATGATGCCCTCGTTTTTTTCTTGACGCTTTCCTCTAGTCTCCCCTCAATCGCGGCTAATGCGGCCTCTTGGGTCAAAATTTCCATATCAATTCCGTCGCCTTCCTTCTTTGAGCTCCACCCCCTTAAAAAGGACTTTTACCACGGCCAGGTCCGCCTGGTAAAGTTTTCGACGAATTGCCGTTATGAGTTTTTGTCGACGCGTTACCGGATCCATGATTGTCTTCTCTCTACGTCATCAGTGTCCACCAAACTAATCCCGGACAAGCCCCCAAATGTTACGGGGATTTATTTGGCAGTTGAAGACGAGACGAAAGTAACCTAAAATGAGGAGACGAGAGATTAGCTTCATTTCAGTCTTTTAATGGAACATCGCGGGCACTCTAAATCATTTCGGCGCTTGAATATTAGAGTTATTTCCCCTTTGATCGATAAACTCTCAAATACCGTCACCTGCGGGAGTTGCTTCCCCGCTGCCGATGTGATTCCAGCAAGCTTACCGTAGGCTGCCGTAATTGCAAAAAAATATGCCCCCTTCCATTTTAAAGAAAATGTGCTCGTAACATTCGCTTGACCAGGGAACACCTGCACTGTGTTATAAATAGTACTGTGTTATAGAGTGATACTTAGAAAAAGGGAGGGATGAATGTAGCAGAACTGGAACGGCTCGATTGCCGACGACCAGGTACACATGTAGCTCAATTGGTTAAAGCTCCGTCTAGAATTCGGATGTTTCGCGTTTGAATCCCGGTCTGGTCTTGTATTTTCTTAATTAGTTTGGTTTTCAAAATTGAATGTTTCAGAGTCAAAAAACTGTCAAACTCGGTCTCTTTACGAATTGTAAACAATGCGTACAGAAAGTTTCCCATAATAAGGAACTAGTATCGGGTTTTTTCTTGAGCTTTTTTCCGAGAGGTTACATACAAGATCAACCTAGATATGTATGCATAGTTGCCGGTAGCATATAACTAGAGACACTGTATTGTCTGTAAAATCTTACAGGCGGCTCCAGTTGTAGAAAGTACATTATTAGTTTGACTATGAAGAAATAAGCAAATTATATGTACACTTTTTCGAGAATTCGTGTAAAGATTGAGAGGGTCCATGATCCGATCTTGTCCAGTTGTCAAACAATAATAATGTATAGTAACAAGATCAGTGGGGAAATCATTACCCAGGGGGTGCATATTGCTTCTGTCCAGAATGATTGAAACTACGTTAAATTATAATCTAAGATAAATTATTTTTAATCCTTTATAAAGTCGTAGTTGTTTGTTTGGGTTTAATGTCCTCGCAAACACTAAGGTCTTATAGGACGACTGCCTAAGATGACACCGCCGACAAGAGAGAATGTAGGCAAGTGAAAGAGGAAAAGATGTGTAAATGCCAAATGTTGTAACGGGGGCAGTGGATCAATGCTTGCTTCTTCAGTCCACATTAGTAGAAAACACAAAAGTAAACTGCATATTGGGCAAGGGTCTAAGATTACATTCAGTGGGATTTTGTTGGCCTATTCTTTTTTCGAAGCTGCAGTGGCTCATTCAGGAAGTGACGTAGCTCACATATTACAACCATGGCGCTCCCGATAAATCACAGGCATGAGGCAAAAATTAAAATTTACGCTAATCACTGATTAAGCTAATCACCTTTTGAACAACTGGGCCCAGAGTGAGCGTTATGCTCATTTAAGCAACTTGCATTTTTAGATATAAAGCTTGTAAATGCCTGAAAGTTTATTAAAGTACATTTTTAATAAATTAAATTTATTTTACAACAATGATGAAGCAAGTTCTTTCAGGTTATATTTATCACTCTTGTTGGTGCGGATGTTAGCGTGTAGAGGGTTTTTATGCTGGAGGAAACCGGAGTACCTGGAGAAAATCCATGTGATTGGCCAGGTGACCCCATAACTGTTCACGACCGATCGGGGAATCGAACCCCAGCCACCTTAGTTAAAGACGAGTGCGTTATCCACTACGACACCTGACCATCCTATTACTTTCGTGTTTAGCGAGTAGAAATGCCATTTCCGTTAAGATATATTCAAATAAGGGACGAATTCGAAGTCAGAATGGCAGAAACATCTTGTGTAATTTTGATGAACATAAATAAATGGCTGCATTCATGATTTTGAAAAAAAAAGATTTAGAATCATAGAAATACTTCTCAGTCAAAACTGCACGGAATGAGGTTTTCATCATAAGAGCTTTGGCTCAGTGTGTTTGACATTTCTAGTAAATAGTAGTGCAAAAAATGTCATGTATACATTTTTACCATTTGTTTATGTTATTTTAAGAAGTTGTTTCTGTTATGTTACGAAGTTAGTTGAAGAAATTTGTATATCGTTCAAATATAAGTTAGATATTTCCCTGTGCAATTATTCCAATGCAACGATTTTGACATTCTGGGTTTAGTTAGTCGTAATCTACTCGGTAGATTTTCCGATCCTCAATTTTTGAAAAGAGTTAGATATTACGTTTCAGTTGGTAAAATATATATGATTTTCATTATTTTCTAGGTCCCACCGAAGATAAAAAGTATCTCCCACGATAATTTCAACAGACTATTTTCTGTGATAAAATAAATATTTGTCATCGTATTTTTGTTTATGACTAGAGAAAAGATCAATTCTGTTGAAATTAGTATAATATAGATAAATTTGGGCTATTTGATTACTATAATCACGGACTTAGATAACAAATCTAATCTAATCTAATTCCGTGCTATAATGTACCTATAAGAATTTGACTGAAGCACTTAGATCCTATCCGATCCGATGTAAGAGTGTTTGCCTTATATTTTCAATATAGTTTAATGCATTTGCTACACTTGTCGATTCTTAATATGTCATGCTTAAATTTAGTATATTTGGATAATGTTATGCATTCGGTGCTCGAAGGGAGGCAACTCGTGTTGTCTTACTTTCTTATACCATCAAATTACTGAAATCATTTAATCCCCTTCTCCTTCTAACTTCTTTTTATGCTTCTTATTAAAGTGAACTCGAATCGAAAGAATCGCATATATTTCAGAATATGTGTATTTTTAACACAATGCCTGCGTTATTTTACTACCTGAAATTCTTTCCGTTTATTTATTAACCGTAATATAGTCAAATCGGAAGTTAACCCCACATCCGGGCGACCGCCATCTTGCTGTGAGTTGCAGAGATTGCGGAAGAGAAACCTGCATGAACAACTTACATTATGTGACTAGTGTGGTCCTATCGTTATAACACCGACTTAAATGCATTTGAACAATGGCGCCAATTTTTTCGTAGATGTAATTCCAATAGAAGAGATTTGGACAAGTTCTCCAAAAGTGAGGCACGGGTGTTTTGGGGTGTGGGTTTCAGGCATAGCGGGGGACGATTGTGACCATAGGGTGGTCGAGACATTGTAATCATGAGTACGAGTTCTGCTACAGGCCGCCGGCGTTCTGCCAACAGGCAGTATTCCGCAGAAGAACAGGCTCTCAATCAAATTTCAAAGGAAGTAAGTACAATAATGACACCCCTTCAGATTATCTCCCTGAGGTTTCTCATCCCGAGTTGATAATGACAGAGTTGACCAACCTGTTTATATTTTCGTTTGTGTTACAGTTGCATACACCACGCTATTTCTCGACATGCGATAACTCGTATGTATGTCTTTTAATAATTGTTATCACATATCATTGGTTTGCTAACCGAACAACTAATACCCCTCAAAGAATCAATACCATTATATCCCAGACAGGGTGATGCGCTCATAAATATTTCCTGTTTAATGAGACGATAAGTCCTGTACATTGTCACTGTACCACGTCGATAATTAACCAGTTCTTGATTAAAACTTGATATTTGCTTTTCGAGTAGTGAATATGTATATAATAGATCTACTTATATTATCTCTATAAATGTGAAACACAAGTGAAAGAAACATCACAACTAAATACATATATCCCAAATCTGACTGGTGACTCCTGTGTGGCCCAACTTGCCATTCATCTATAACATAATCGTCGACTGGGTGTTGACACCAAACCCTCAGTTATAGTATGATTAACATGGGTCGGTCATTTGTCATCATTATGTAGGCAAACACAACAGAAGCATTGCCTTATTGTGCTAGATCTAGACAAAACTACCATCTCAGTAAAGAATAGCCAAAGGGCAATTATAGGTGTGTCATTACATAATTATGTTACTGTCATTTATCATAGAGAAAACACTCATCTGTACATTGAGCTAATGAAACAAATGACCATTAAATACAGGCTGCTTCCCTAAGCAAAGTGCTGTATTTTCCAATTGGAAGAAAAAAGTTGAAAAACATCTCCCCAATTTTAGTGAAAATAATGCTACATTTTATCAATTTATTCATATAGGATCAGGCTGTTCTAAAATTTAAGTAGAAAAAATCCCTGGGGTCACATTAATCTACTTCATGTATTTTGCATTTGCATCTTGAATCCAATAGTGTATACTCGTAGAATCCAGGTGTATATGTAGGACTCACAGAATTTCTGGAATTAAAAAAAAAGAAAGAAGTAAATGTAGATTGGTCACTGCGCATATTCATTAACATGTACACGTATACAGAACTCAAGTGTAATGTAGTGACCTAAAAGTGATCATGATCTGTCCATTGCTATTAAAGGCAGAAGACTAGAGAAAACTTTCCTGTGGCTTTTAACAAATGTTTTCGTAAATAGCAATAGTAAGTTGAAACCCAAGTCATCACAAACATTGTTTCAAGTAAATATCATGTTCATTCAAATTGATTTAACATCAAAAATTTGAATTACAAATGTCATAAGAAATGCAAGAAATTGTTTCCATGTCTATATGACTACAACAATTCTGAAATGCTTGCCAACTTTTATTTCATTAAATTATTATCATTATCATGCACATAAGGGAGTATATATCATGTAATGATATACATACAATATTAATTGAAATACTTATAGTTCACTGACACCTATATTTTCGGTAAATTATTGGATAAATGCATGTGATTTGTTTCTTGGTTTTCAAAGGTTATATATATGTCACTGACCCTTAAGATTTTCGTCTTACAGAAAGCCAAGGGAATGGGCATATATATATATACACATATTTTGATGAATATTACCCCCTGCAAATAAAACATTTTGCTTTTATGATAGCCAAAGTTTCTGTATATGTCCAGGTCAAGTATATGTTAAAATGTAATTAAAAAATTTCATTTATTATATTTCATTTATATTTGACCTGATACTGAGCTTTTGAAATACAAGAATGACTCTTGTGTGTCAGAATATATAATTTGATCATATGTATATGACACACAGTGTACAAAATGGCAGTTAACACAGATTTCTTATCTCATTAACACTGCCTAAGAAATTGTGGCTTTAAAATTGTATTTCCCCATATATATGTCTGTTCTTTATTGTTTGTACTTAATAAGTCATCTTTCACCAATGTACTTCTCCCCACTTATTAGAACTACTGTTGCATTTGACTCCAGCCTTGCAACACAAAAAAATCTTCGTCATTTCACGACCAAGTGCTAATATACTCTTCATGCCTATACAAATTGTACATGTTTTTCTGGAGCAGTTGACTCCCATTTTGATACAAATGTTATGTTTCCGGACCAGTTGTGGACTGGCTATTATATGAGTCAGTCTGATAATGCAAGATGGAATTAACGCTTGGCCTATGATAGACTTCTTCACAAGAATGGCTGCAGACTCTTATCATGATTGACTGCAACAATTTTGTCTTCTCGAAAATGGTTGCAGTGGTTAAAAATTGTTGGAGCAGTTAGTTTCTTAATCAGCTACACAGGTTTGAATTCCATTAGGCATGAGGTCCCAGCTAGCCTACATGTTGTCATTATTATTATTATTTTTCTACAGAAAAAAAAACTGGTAAAATCGTAAGCCTCCTATCTGATGAGATGTTTCCTTTTTCCCCCCTTACAGTTGCAAAAGTTGACTATGCATACATTGTGAAACTTGTGATCATGTTTCGCATGGCATATATAGCTTTTCCTTAACAACTAAAAGATCTTGGTCATGATATTTAATTTGGCAAGTACTTGGGTATATGTAAAAGTACATGTACAGTTTGTAATGTAGACCGGCTGTGAAAATCTTTCTATAAATTTATTTATGTTGAGGTACGTAGCTGCACTTGGTCAAATGTCAACTTTAAGTACTGACTTTAATGGCTAAAACATCTTTATATTTGGCAGCTATAGCTATGGCTGTTATATTGGAATCCCGGATCGAGTGCTACATGCAAAAGTTTCCAAATCTAAATGATCTTAACCTATACTTTACTTTTAGTTTCGAGTTCATAGGTGCTAAAATTTGGTATTTTTTTACTGTAAACTTCTTTAAGAGTCTGCTTACACAGATGGATATAAAAGGAGTTGTGTACATATAATTAGTTTTCTCACAGTATTGGTCCCGTGGAGTGTCATAGGCCCTCTTGACCTCTTGTTTATATTTTTAGCCCACCATCATCTGATGGTGGGCTATTCAAATCACCCTGCGTCCGTGGTCCGTCTTTTAACAATTCTTGTTATCGGTATTTCTCAAGAAGTACCAGAGGGATCTTTCTCAAATTTTATATGTAGGTTCCCCTTGGTCCTAAGCTAGTCAGGGCATTTTTTGAGAGTGATCGGATAAAGAACATGGCCGACAGGCAGCCATTTTTGATTTTGATATAGAAAGTTTGTTATCACTATTTCTTGGGAAGTATCAGAGGGATTTTTCTCAAATTTTATATGTAGGTTCCCCCTTGGATTTAAGCTGTGCAGGGCATTTTTTGAGACTGATCGGTAAACAACAAGGTCGACAAGCATCCATCTTTGAGTTTGATATAGAAAGTTTGTTATCACTATTTCTCGGGAAGTATCAGAGGGATCTTTCTCAAATTTTATATGTAGGTTCCCCTTAGTCCTTAGCAGTGCAGGGCAACTTTTGAGACTGATCGGATAAACAACATGACAGACAGGCAGCCGTCTTGGATTTTGATAGTGAAAGTTTGTTATTGCTATTTCTCAAGAAGTACTTCAGGGATCTTTCTTCCCAAATTTTATATGTAGGGTCCCTCTGGTCCTAGCTGTGCAGGGCAATTTCAGAGACTGATCGGATAAACAACATGGCCGACAGGCAGCCATCTTGGATTTTGATAGTGAACGTTTGTTATCGCTATTTCTGGGGAAGTACGGGAGGGATCTTGCTCAAATTTTATGTGTAGGTTCCCCTTGAGATCTCGTTGTGCATGTTATATTTTGAGACTGATCATAAAAACAAAATGAATTAAAAGAAGAAATAAACAGATCTTTCTCATATTGCAATGATCGATTCTATTTCTTTCACTTAATTTAAGTACTGTACTAGTAAATATGTGAAATGACAAACTCACTTTGAAGGTTGGCTTTCATACACATCAGTATTAAGTTTAGATCAAAAGTTACCTCAAGGTGCATTTACTGTTAACATGACTCGATCAAACAGATTAGAGGAAAGAAGAGAAAAGATCGAACTGACCCAGAACTATTGAAGATGGTACAAAGGTGGGCGCCAAGATCCCTCTGGGATCTCTTGTTAATTAATATAGTTAAGTGTCAAATGCAAGAGTGTCAGGACATATAAATGCCTGACATGTTAATATTGTAAACCTTACGATACACTCTTTTACCATTAGCACATTAAGTGTGCTCTCTCTCCTATGGTGTATGTTTTATATATCAGTATGACTTTTAGGTGAAAATCTTGTGATGGAGTACTATATAATATCCAATATCAGTCTATAGGCCTGACCTTGACCAGCTGCTGGCCATGGACTAGGATAGAGTACTCCAGACTATATATATATGTCTAGGGTAGTGAAGGAAAAATAGTATGTATTATCATTGTTTTAAAAAATAAACAGCCCTCCCGACCTCCCATACAATCATTGCTAACTCTTTATGATTAATTCTCCTGATATAATTCCTGTCTTACATTTGACATATATAAAGAAAGAAAAACAGATGATCTCGGTCTCTTTGTTGATATTAGCTGGGACATTTTATTTTAGCCTAGCACTGACATTTCAGTAGCAGGTGTATGTGTACATACATATATATGTAGCAAGTACAGAGACTAAAGGTTGGAGCTTATATATGAAGGCCAGTTTGTTTGGGACTGTACATATGTACAGGTTCATTAGCCCAATTACTGTAGGTTTTGACTGGGGGAACAGCCTTGGGGTTGTGTGGTAGGGTGATATATATCGGAGCCAAGTGGAGCGTGTGATGGTAGACACATTGGAGCAAGATCTCTTAACCAGAAAAGTCCATCTCTATTTGTCATACCTAATTGAAAAAAATGTGGCAGATTTTATACCAGATGTACATGGAATTAAGAAAAGTTCCCGTATATAATTGTAGTTGAATATATGAAGCACGTTAGATTTCATTAGTGCATTGTACATGTGTGACGATTAATATAACTGCATATTGAAATG